AGAAAAAAATATATAGTTTTTATTGAGGGATATCTCAAATAAGTTTATTTGAGACACATTCTTATAGGGCATACTCTGCATTGTATTTCACTAATTCAAATTGTCTATTTTGTAGATATTCATTCAAAGATCATCTCTATAAAAAATACTTGAATCCGATGTCATTAGACTACTTAATTAAATTATTGAAATTTTAGTACTTTCTTGAAGCATCATGTTCATTGATTTTATAGGACACAATTAGATGTCTAAATAGTTTTCAATTTGTCTAATTTTTTGCAAAAATGATTAATGAATGAAAACTTAAAAAATAAATAGTTTAGATCGTTGAAAAAATATTCGTAGGGTACCGTAAATGTTGTCTCTTAATATAAAGGGACTGATATACAGAGAGGTTCTATTGAAGGTGTCCCTTTTACAAAGCAATATTCTAAACTACTCTAATGTACGGAATCAACTCAAGTACGAGGCAGACACACTGCCTTGCTTGGCGTAACATACATCTGCAAATAAAAATATTTTTTTAGTTTGGCTGTTATTGGAGAAAAAGAGAAAAAATGGTTGGTTGTGTGTTGTTGTGGGGAAAAGTGGAGCGCGGTTGTGTTTATATCAACGTGTTCCTTCATGAGCCAAAGCTTTGCTCACAACACAGGTCTTCATATCCATCATACTGCTTTGCTTTGCTTTTCTGCCTCTACACTCAAAAACCCAAACAAACACACACATAAATCAATATTAATTTATTCATAACCTCTTCATCGAGAGAGAGAGAGAGAGAGAGAGAGAGAGAGAGAGAGAGCAGAGCTAGCTAGCTGCTAAAGCCATGTCAGTCCCCATCAAACCAGGAGATGGTAAAGCCAAAAACCCCATAATGCCCTCCAGTTTGGACCAACAGCCATCTGGGTCTTCTTCACTGAGGCCTCATTCTCTTCTTGTTCATCAAAACAATAAGAAGAGCAAACTAGGTTAGCTATTTTTAATTAGTTTTGTGATACTTTTTTGGTGACTGGAAATTAATAATGCTGCACATTTTTCTTTTATTTCTATTAATTGTTGATTTTGAATGTATATTTGTATTGTATGTACTGGGGTCTTAATTAGACGTTCCTTGGTTTTGGTCATTGGATGATGATGATGATGGTGATGATGATGATGGTGATGGTGATGATGTGAATGTTCCAGAAGAGAGCGATGAAGATATGTTCACGGTTCCGGACGTGGAGGCTTTACCTCCTCCTTTCAATAACATCACTTCTAATAATACCTCTTCCACCACCAATGCCACCGGCAGCACCACCAACAACAACAACCCAGAAGCTCAGTCTGGCTTTCCGGCAAAACGCCGCAGAGGCCGGAACCCAGTTGATAAGGAGTACAGACGACTCAAGAGGTACTATTTATGAAATATTGTCAAATTAATTATCTTCTATATTTTGTTTTACACAAGTGTTATGTATGTACAAATTGCATGCATGCACATATAGCTGGGAAACAACTTGCTACTATATAAAGGGATGTACAGGTATGAGAAAATTAAATGTTGATGTGAAATAGATATAAATATTTATGGGTCGATCTGATCATATCGGCTTAGTAATAAGTTCATTGAAATGTTTGTAGTGACTTGTCAAAAAAATTGTCCAATTTAATTTGGTTTACAGATTGCTAAGGAACAGGGTGTCTGCTCAACAAGCTCGGGAAAGAAAGAAGGTTTACGTCAATGAACTGGAATCAAGAGCCAAAGAATTGGAGGATAGCAATTCAAAGTTGGAAGAAAAGATCTCTACACTTGTCAACGAAAACGCCATGCTTCGAAAGGTGAAGTTTCTCTCTTACTGTTAAATTAGTACTAATTGTGGTTTACAAATGTGAACTCTGTGTGGTTGCATTTTATTATTTTGACATAATTCATTCTCTGTCCGTCAGGTTCTTATGAATACAAGGCCGAAAGTGGACGAAAGCATTGAGCCAAAGGCAGGATAAGTAAGAGCAGACAAGCATAAGGTGCTGTTTTAGGCATTTTAGACGAACATATTTAGAAATTTTAGAGTCCCGTTTCGACGAAAATGTGAATCCTTCAGTCCCCCCACCACATATGGCAGTTGTGCATCAGTATGTGTTCTTGTTTCAATATGAACTTTTATCTTCTCCGTTTGCCATGTATTTATTTAAATACGTGTTTATGTTTTGGATGAACTTCATTTGAGGAGTTGCTTCTTTTCTGTATACAACACATGAATGACTTCATTGCTGATGAAAGATAATCAAGATGCGAACATTTATATATTGGCTCATAAAGACAATAGATGAACTTGCTGATCGCTCTTCGAGCTTCACAGCGATGACTCGGGTTTAAACAGAGATTGTTACATGCCCTTGGCAATATAATTGCGGCAGAGAAGACATAAATAGATGATACATAAATCTTCACCTAAACACCAGATTATGGCAGCTCTTGTCACAAGGGTATGGACAATCTATTGCCTTGATATTAACTCGATCGAAATACCAGTTTCCGACTGATTTTGCTATCCCCTGCAGATATATAATGGATTGCATGAGTACACCACACAGACAGAGAGACTCATCTATAACAAAAAATAATGTGAAAAATAAATGACAGGGAATTTGTGCATTATGTAACTTATGAAATAATTAGTACAAAATAGGGCATACCTTATTTCCAATATGGGGAGAATTTTGAGAAAACCATGTATCTTGTC